ACTGAAGTTGTACTACCAAGTCGCCAGCTCTCATCTTCCAGCTCCCCGGCTACTCCGCGTACTGAAGTTGTACTACCAAGTCGCCAGTTCTCATCTTCCAGCTCCCCAGCTAGTCCGCGTACTCACCAATACTCATCTTCTAGCTCCCCAGATACTCCGCCTACTACAGTTGTTCTACAAAGTCGCCAGTTCTCATCTTCCAGCTCCCCAGCTACTCCGCGTACTCAAGTTGTACTACAAAGTCGCCAGTTCTCATCTTCCAGCTCCCCAGCTACTCCGTGTACTACAGTTGTACTACCAAGTTGCCAGTTCTCATCTTCCAGCTCCCCAGCTACTCCGCGTACTACAGTTGTACTACAAAGTCACCAGTTCTCATCTTCCAACTCGCCAGATACTCCGCGTGCTACAGTTGTACTACCAAGTCGCCAGTTCTCATCTTCCAGCTCCCCAGATACTGCGCGTACTGAAGTTGTACTACCAAGTCGCCAGCTCTCATCTTCCAGCTCCCCAGATACTCCGCGTACTGAAGTTGTACTACCAAGTCGCCGGTTCTCATCTTCCAGCTCCCCAGCTAGTCGGTGTACTCACCAGTTCTCATCTTCTAGCTCCCCAGATACTCCGCCTACTACAGTTGTTCTACAAAGTCGCCAGTTCTCATCTTCCAGCTCCCCAGATACTCCGCGTACTCAAGTTGCACTACCAAGTCACCAGTTCTCATCTTCCCGCTCCCCAGCTACTCCGCGTACTAAAGTTGTACTACCAAGTCGCCAGTTCTCATCTTCCAGCTCCCCAGCTACTCCGCGTACTAAAGTTGTACTGCAAAGTCGCCAGTTCTCAGCTTCCAGCTCCACAGATTGCTCCGCGTACTCAAGTTGTACTAGAAACTCGCCAGTTCTCAGCTTCCAGCTCCACAGCTACTCCGCGTACTACAGTTGTACCATAAAGTCGCCAGTGCTCATCTTCCAGCTCCCCAGATACTCCGCGTACTCAAGTTGTACTACCCGCTCGCCAGTTCTCAGCTTCCAGCTCCCCAGCTACTCCGCGTACTACAGTTGTACTATAAAGTCGCCAGCGCTCATCTTCCAGCTCCCCAGATACTCCGCGTACTCAAGTTGTACTACCCACTCGCCAGTTCTCATCTTCCCACTCCCCAGCTACTCCGCGTACTACAGTTGTACTACCACGTCGCCAGTTCTCAGCTTCCAGCTCCCCAGCTACTCCGCGTACTAAAGTTGTACTACAAAGTCGCCAGTTCTCAGCTTCCACCTCCACGGCTTGCTCCGCTGCTCAACGAATCGCACTCTCGCCTGCATTTCGCACACTCGACACGCACGATCTCCGCAGAGGGTCGCGCGGTAATTTCACAAATGGCACTCTCGCCTGCATTTCGCGCACTCGACACGCACGATCTCCGCAGAGGGTTGCGCGGTACTTTCACAAATCGCACTCTCGCCTGCATTTCGCGCACTCGACACGCACGATCTCCGCAGAGGGTTGCGCGGTAATTTCACGAATCGCGCTCTCGCCTGCACTTCGCGCACTCGACACGCACGATCTCCGCAGAGGGTTGCGCGGGCACCCGGCGAATCGCACTCTCGCCTGCATTTCGCGCACTCGACACGCGCGATCTCAGAGGGTTGCGCGGGCAGCCGGCAAATCGCACTCTCGCCTGCATTTCGCGCACTCGACACGCACGATCTCCGCAGAGGGCCGCGCGCACACCGGACGAATCGCGCTCTCGCCTGCATTTCGCGCACTCGACACGCACGATCTCCGCAGAGGGTTGCACTTTCGGTTCACGCTGTTCGTCCCACCCTCCGCCTTTAAGAGAGAATTTATAAAGTGGGGAAATGTTTTTACATTAGGACATCTCCCGGGCTAGCTTTCCTGCTCATTGCATGCTTGCATACTCATTGCATGCTTGCATACCCATCACTTGCATGCTTGCACTGCATGCTTGCAGACCCATCACTTGCATACTTACACTACGTGCTTGCATACCCATCACTTGCATACTTACACTTACACTGCATGCTTGCATACCCATCACTTGCATACTTACACTTGCATACTTTGACACTTAGCATACTTTGCACTTGGATGCTTTCGCTCTTCCACTTACACTGTGGTGGAAGTGTCAGTGTGTAAGTGTAAGTGTCGAAGTGTCAGTGTATGTAGTGCAACTGTGGTAGAAGTGTCAGTGTGTAAGTGTAAGTGTCGAAGTGTCAGTGTTCAAGGGATTTTCCGGAAGAACCCTTCGCAATGCTTTCGGGAAAAATTGTCTTGTTTTACCGTTTTTACCGGGGGGGCGCCCCTTTTTTTCTAGCATATCCGCGGTAAAAACGGTAAAAATCACACATTTTATGTGTTTATCGTTTTTACAGGGGGGCACTCCTTTTTCTTCTACCATATCCGCGGTAAAAACTGTAAATAATCCATGTTTTTACGTTTTTACCGGGGGGCGCTCCTTTTTCTTTTGCCATATCCGCGGTAAAAACGGCAAAAATCGATTCTTTTTTACCGTTTTTACCGGGGGGCGCTTCCTTTTTCAATACCATATCCGCGATCAAAACGGTAAAATTAATTGTTGTTCTTCTTGTACCGTTTTGATCGAGGGGGGCAAACGGGTCTATGTTTTGTTTTTTCAGTTTTTAACGGATGGTCACCGCTGTTTCTTCTGCCATATCCGCGGTAGGTAAAAATCGAAAGTTTTCGATCCAAGTGATGTAGGCTTTCATTGCCCTGCAAAAGTTAAAAGTCATGAAATTTTGATCAATCACCAAACTCCTCTTGTCGAAAAGGGCAAACGCTCCTATATGATAGGAGGAGTGAACCCCCCCTGGTTATAGGAAGATACCCGGGCTGTAACAGTAACATTAAACCTTTTTGTTGACAGAGGTCTTCTAGCTTGCGACCTGGTCCCAGGCATTCTCGCGGTAAAAAACGGTCCAAAGTGAAAATTACTACTTTTGTTGTTTACCTTTTTTAATGAAGAGTCGCTTGCTCTTTTTGCTTCTACCATATCGTTAAAAATCAAAGTTGTGTTATTCTCCGTTTTGTAGGTGGACTTGTCCTTTTCTTTTCTACCATCTCCGTGGCAAAAACGGTAAAAATCTTTGTGGTTAATCTTTTCTACTGGGGGGGCGCTCCATGTTTGAATGTCATATCTGCCGTAAAAACGGTAAAAATATATTTGTTTTAACCGTTTTTTCCGGGGGGGGCGCCCCTTTTTCTCTACGATATCCGCGGTAAAAACGGTAAAAATCAAAAATTTTCTTGTTTTATCATGTTTACCGGGGGGGCAATCCTTTTTCTTCTACCATATCCGCGGAAAAACGGTAAAAATCGAAAATTTTATTTTTTTACCTTTTTTCCTGCGGGGTCGCGAAAGGATACCCCTTAGCAAAACAACGAAAGATTCTACAGGTTGCCAAAAGACTTCTTGAGCGGGCCCAATTCTTGTCTGCAACTGAGCAGCGCATAGTCATCCAGTGCGTTGATGACTGGGATGGTTGCAACCTGATAGACAAAGCAACTGACAAGTAATGCAAATAATTCTGATGTGACTTGCACCCCACAATGAAAAAAAAATCCTTATCCAGCTTTGGTGGAAGGCTGTAAACGGCAGTGACTGTCAATGTCACCCAAGCACGAAACACTCAAGTTCTTCTTTTGAAAGACTTGAGGGCGCTAGCATCAAGAAAACCTTGCCCAGTAGAAGGCAACAGGAAGTCTGGCCACCACTAGACACAACAACACGCGACAGGCGGCGGGCGCTTGCAAATGTGTCTAATTCCCAAAAAAATCGTCCTGCTGTTGCAGTAGTCTTCCTAATGTGCTGATTCTTCAGCAAGGGCGAAGGCAATGCCATGCTACAAGGACACATTGGACCTTAACTGCCATAACCGCCAACCACAGGATGGCTCACAACAGCTGGCCCGGCAGAAGCCTAACCAAGAAAAAACCATCCCTCATCAAATGAATGGTTTCGTTTGGTTGACTTAGTTGATATGTCTGCTTTCTCGGGTGGTATGTTCGTTTGAAGCTTGCAAAGCCGGGCACCCAAATTGTGGGTTTCATCCACACCTTGGAGGCAGGAGCTGCTTGTCGCCGCAATTCCTCACAAGGACATGGTTGGCTCCGAGACACGACAACTGGCATCCCGGCCTTCATCATACTCAAAAAGCCTCGAGGAACTCAGCTCAGTTGCACACGTGAAGAGATGATCAGAATTGCTATTCATGTGCCAGGCGGCTGGTGTACTCGAACATGCTTAACCTAGCATAAACCCACAAACCCTCCCACAAAATGCTCAGTTGGACAAACAAGCACATTAAATGCAGCTAGCGTAGCAGGAACCGAGCATGTCTGCGATCGTCCTTGAAGGGTGTTGGAAGAAAGAAAACGGGTGCGTTTAGCATCAAAGCAGCTTCCAACTTTTTGTACAAATCTGTCCTCATCATTCTCAAGAAGGGACGTGAGCTGCACCAAGACTTCCTCATGATCACCCAAGGAAGCATAGATAGCAACATGTGCTTTTTGCCTGATTCAGCTTGCACGCCTCTTTCGTCAAGTCTTCGGCACAAGCTGACAGTATACGCTCCTGTGCGAAGCAACTGCGCAGGTGTAAAGCCAAATGCAGAAACCAGACAGACCGTGGCGCTCGAGGCATTGGTTTGGGAAAACAATTTTAGACATCCGGCGGAGCTGTTTAACATATATAAGGATAAACAGGGAGTTTCAGAAACTAAAGGCAGCTCGATGTTTTCCGAAGTAAATGCAAGATCACAGCTGTGCCCCCCCTGAGGTTGTGATGATACATTTATCCTTGCATAAGCATCGATATAGTATAGATCTATTTGCACGAGCATTAGTATAATGCACGTCTAACAAGTGTGGAGACAATCTTGACCAGCTTGGAACTTGGTTCGGCGACAATATCGTCAATCACCCTTTGCTCTCAATTCATGACCTCAGGTCCTTTGATGTTGGAGGCCATCGCTATTAGGTTGGAGGCCATCGCCATTAGTTAAGTTTCCCTATAAAACTATGTTGTGTTTGAGCCCCGCCAGGCCGCAGAGTCTCCCACTCTACATGTCCAGCTGCCCCGATGTTGCGCCCGACCTCCATGAGGGAGACATATTCCCTGTAGGCGGCATGCCACTCGAGCTGCTGCTCCTTGACGCGTTAAGGCCTTGTAAGCCCTGGGAAGATCTTCATAACATACATTATATATGATTTTTTATTGATATGTGTACAGCGTTTGTTTACTTTAGATTTTTTTGCATAAGTCATATCAAGTCTGCGAATAAAATGTTGCTTCAAGTGAGAACATTAAGTCCAATATATATATATATGTGTGTGTGTGTGTTCTTAAATCAATATCTTTAATCCTTTCCCTCAGGCCAATGCAGCTCTGTGATTCATCTCAAGGGAGACATCTGCCTGGGATTCCAGGGCTTTGTCCACGTCAATGCCCTCAAAAAGCCTGAGGTGAAGCACTACCCTTCCAGGCATTGATACAATAACTGTTGCAGACAGTGGCCTACTGCCACCAATGCCTCTTGGATGTCTATATCTTGATATATACCAAAATAGATCGTTCAGCAAAGCTGCGACAGTTTGGAGGTCATGAAGGCCTCCAAAACAAGTCGGGACAAGCAGTGGTAGAACAAAGCATATAAACAAGTGTAAAGCAAGTGCCTCACAATATACAGATAAAGAGAGAGAGAGAGAGAGAAAAAAAAAAGAGAGAGAGAGAGAGAGCATGTTATATATATAGTATATATTATGTACATCTCACATATTGTGTGTGTACAAAACATGTCCATGAAGCAGCCTACATCAGCCAAGTGCTAAGATATGTCGTCTGGAGTGCAGGGGAAGATTTAGAACAGCGATCCTTGCCAATGTCAGAAATAGATTGCAAAGTGGTTTCAAGTGCCTCGGACGCAGCTTGGATCTCATCCAAAGCAATGGCATCTTCTAGCACTTCCAGAACATCCGTGGCCATGGCAAAAAGTGAAGTTTGCAGACTGCGTTGGCAGGAAAATGACTGTCTGCTGGCGTTCCAGGCATGCTGCTCAAGCTTTAGTTTGCATTTCTCAAGCTCAATGAGGATTTTCTCCTTTCAATCATAAACAACAAAAGAGGGGCTTCTTGCAAAGAGACTGCCTCACTACGAGTGTCGCTGAAGAGGGAGGTGTCCAGCCAAGGCTTTATTGAGCTTTCTTGCAATGCACAAGAATTGGAAGTACGGTTTGGAACGCTGTCAACTGCCTCAGAAATATTTGCACAAAAATAACTATGTGGTTCAGTTTCAATTGAATTTTGCGCTGAGTTTCCAGACCTGCGCCAGGCTCCGCAGGCCCTTGCGACTGGTGACTCGTGCCGTGATTCCTTGGCCTGGGATCACTAGTCAAACAAGAAGGGTTGGATAATTTCAACCGGCAAGAGATGAAAAATCCTACTGCACTGTACTGCGGCACTTCCTTTTGCGCCTGCCGAAAGCTCCTTTCATTGGCGAAGCTTGTGCCCAAATGCCGAGCTTTGGAAAGCTTCCAAGCCATCATTGCCCTCCAGCACTGCTAGCTCTGTACTAGGAGCGTCCTTGGTACTAGTAGGAATGCCCTTTGTTACTGGTAGCTTCTTGTTCCTAGTAGTAAGGCCAGGAGCGCCCCTAGTAGCGAGCAATCAGCAAGCAAATGCCCAGGCCGGAACGTCATCTAGCTGCTTGTCCGTTCTCCTGCAAAACAGAGCTTTCATACATCATGCAACATACGATGGGAAAAACTACCCTGACAATGCTCTGCCGCACGCTCTGGCCTGGAGCAAAAATGGGTCTGCCTTGCCACCTGACATGCATAATCCAGTCGAGGGTGTACTGAGTGTACTGACTTCTTCAACTGCTGTGCATGCAGTGTTCAAGTGGGCCGACTCCTTACCTGCTAAAAGGAAACTCATCCTCAGGCAGTGTCATATGTGTGCTTGCAAAATGCTCCTTATTCAAAGGCTTGGCCGTGAAAGGCAGGGTTGAAGATAGACTGTGATAAAGGAAAGGGGAAGCAGGGAGACAGAAGAGCAGGGCCACAAAAAACAATATGTAAATAGAGGCTCTGGGAAGAACAATGCAAAATCAAAAGGAAAACAGGACAAGAATGGAGCAAAAAGTTGGGACAGAAAGATGATGTTAAGAGATATGTCACTGCCTCTTTAGTCCATCACTAGAGAATCAATGATACTGCCTGCATCCACCATGTGATGGGAAGAAGTGAAATCGACCTTTGCCTGGCCTGCATCCACTTCCATGACTGAGCCATACATCAAGTGGCGTGCGCCAAAACCCTCCCTTTTGTTGTTAACGCGCAAGTCTGCCCAAAGCACCAAGCAGACCTTGCCAAACATGCAAAAAAGAGACGTCTAAAAAATAGAGAAAAAGAAAAGGCTGGCTGACCTTGCCCATGCAAAACATCTTGATTCTACAAATAAGAAGGTCTCTCAAGGCCATTGTGTTGCTTGCTTGCATTCATATTATTGCTATGTCTATGTAGAACTTGACGTGCAAAAGACAGGCGTTGGCATGATTGATGTTCGGGAGGTTCAGTTTGAATGATCTCAGGCATAGAGCTATCGGCGAGTCTCAAGTGTTTTCAATCTTGCTGTAGTCAGGTCTTGTAGCGTTCCACGACATATAAGGCTTCCTGCAACTTGTTTTGAGCATTTGCCAGCTACTTCCTGGACAAGTCACACACATGCCCAACCCAGCAAGCGATGCTGATGCACAAATCAGAGCTGAATGCTTGGGTCCCAAGCTGAAACCTGGCACTCATGTGGACCAAGTTTTGCACCCAGCCAATGCCAATGGTCTCTTTTTAAGCCCGCTCCCCACCCCGCTCCCTACTGGATTTTGGTACGCGCCTACTCAAATCGGTAAGGGACTAGCAGTGAGCCACAACAAGACTAAGTTAGCTTCTAGGTAGGGCGCAGGATAGCTCACGCTACACTAGTGATTTGGTTCCTAGATTTTTAGGGAAACGCCGATTTCTATGGTGGTTACCACAGGAATAACAGACTCGCAGTTGTAAACCCGCCCACAACCCTCTCTGCTGACACTACGATCTACTGTACTATGTGACCCTCTTAAATTCTCTACACACGCTACTCATCTGGGATTGCCATGTTGAACAACCTGAACAGCGTCAAACGGTCATCTCGGCTGCATTTTGCTGAGAGACTCTTTGTTCGGCTTGCGGTTTAAAGGTCTATAGAGTCTAAATCAATATGTGTTCGTTTGGCTCTGAAAAATGGATACTGGCTTTGAGCAGGTACAGTATGGAGACAAGAAGTTGAACTTGCTAAGCCTTTACTGTTGCTCCGGGTTGTTTCCACCAGTATGTGCCTGGGTGAAACCAGCAAAAATGCCCTTGGGATTGTGTAGACTTAGATGTCAATCATCAATGGTCAAACTGCTCACCTATGCAACGCTGAAACAGGTTTAAGCTTTAAGCTTAAGCACACCACTGCACTAGTGCCCGAGCCGAGATGCTGGAAGAATCCAGGCCCAACCTCAATTGGTTGACTTGAACGAGAAAATTGCGAAAGCTAGGAGACTGAGACAGGATGAGACAGACAGAAACAAGATCTAGAAGGAAATGAACAAAATGAAGGTAAGGCCTCCTTTAGAGATGCCTTACCTTCTTTTTTTCTCTCTCTCTCTCTCTCTCTCTCTCTTTGTTTAGACCGTGTTCCTGGCATGCAAGGGAAATTGTTCAAACATATTTGCGATGGCAAGGGACCACATGAACAGAGCCGAGCCCAGGTTTAGGCAGCAGTCCAAACCACAGGCCACGCTGCAAAAAATATAATATACGGCATGGAACTCCTTAGGTGCACTATGGAACGTTGAGGATCGCATGAGGTGCATGATCCTTTCTTGGCCGAGTAGGTTCTAGATTCTACCTCCTGGAATCAAGTGCCTGATATTCTGAGGATTCAATTTGTGGCATCAAGCACCGACCATTTGCTTCCCTTATGTAGATGATGAGACATCCATGCTGGCGGCATCGCTCTAACCAAAATGCACAGGTTTGAGAAATGCATTCCCTAGGGCGGATTCGAACACCATACTGGAGCATGAGTTGTTGGCGGAAAAGATCACTGCTAGCTAGCCAGGACACATAGATGGAGAGAAACGCAACGAAGGAGACCAAGGCATCCACAAGAGCTCCCCAGAAATCAAGAAGGGCAAAGCGGCAAAAGGCAACCGCTGTCAGCCTCGATGCACAAAAGGAGCGACAATGGATACAAATTCGTCATAAGAGTATGATCAGAGTGTTGTCCGGTGATTCAGCCACATGGATGCAAATCTAGGAGCCCACATGCCAGGACGATCAGCACGCGGTTCGAACACCGTCGAAAAATGGAGTCATCTTCTTCCAAGCCTCAAATTCAAAGAAAACAAAAGTTCAGTCAGTCTGACTCTTGATTCTGACGTTTGGTGTTTTCTGTGCTATTTAAAATCACATCAGCAGAGCTCACTGGCTTTGTGCCGTCAAATTGCAACGGCTGTAGTCATCCAAGCTGACCTCCGCCGTTGTCATCGACGCCACTTCAGCTGGACAAAGAGGGCTTGGTGGTGCGCCCACCAGGATCTACATTGGAGCGCTTGCGGCCTTTGCACGGAAAGGGCTTTTGCCTTTGACGAGCCGAGGCTGCAGCAAAAACATTGAGAGACTGCGATGTCACCAGACTTGCCTCAGGTCCCCACACATTCGTGACAGTACTCGACCCGTGTCCTTCAGAATGGAGTACTGGGTGCTGTACTTACCCTGTGAATCCCAGTGCCTACTTTCAAGAAAATCAAAAAAAACTTGTGTGGAGTCCTCGATGCTCTCTTTCACACCCAAGGGAGAATCAGCTATCGAATAGAAGATTGCCTGGCCTTGGAGTCAACTCAAATGGAAAAGTAATATATATATATATATAGTATCTATATATATATATATATACATGATTATACATGTTGCTGTTTGCATTGCTTTTCAGCATTTGCTGTCAAGCTCATGGCCCCCCCATCTGATTCATGGCAACCTCTAAGGACACGCGGGTTCCTTGGCAAAGACAGGCAAAGGCATAGCATTTCAGTACGCAAGACACTGTCGAGGCCAGTGCGCAAGGACGGCTTCTCAAAGAGAGTTAGCAAAGAGCAGCCTTGGCAAGAAACGTCATCTCATTTCAGAGGAAGCTTCACTAAGCTTGACTCCCTCAGAGTCCCTCCGGGTGTCTGACCTTTAAGAATCTCTGAGAATCGATCGAAGCCAGTGTCCATGAAGTTCCTAAGGGCTGTGCTGCTTCAGGAAAGGAGTTGGAGTTGCAGGAAGATTCCCGACAATCATTGTCCACGCCTTCTGGACTGCTTCATGGCTGTTGCAACTCTAAGAATGTCCATGACCTTGGGCCCATCAATGACTTGATGAGGCGATATCAACACAACGCTTGTCTCTGCTATCAGCTGACATCACATTTCCTGCCAAAGTATGGAGAAGTTTGGTGAAGCACCTCCTCTCGGGTCAAGTCGCACATGGTCAAGACGTGCTTTGCTGTCCTGTGCGCCAAGTCAACTGTACCTACGAACTGCTACGGCTGTTGCAGTGTGACAGCAGCACTGAGCACTGAATGCCACATACCAAAGCACATATATAAATATATATATCTATATATACACATGCTGTAACATGGCTGCCTGATACCTTGCTGATGCACAACTACGGACAAAATGTATGAAGCAGGCTTGAGTGTCCGCACAAACGTACGGTCTGCATCCCGATAAGAGTCCTTGCAGTCGACGAAGGCATAGACTCGTCACTGAGCGTATATCCCAGCCTGGCATCTTCTGATCCCAGCATGTGTTGCAGAGCGTGGAGCAAGCATGAGGGCTGTGAAATCATAAGTTTTGATAATGGTGAACTCTTAGCAAGTAGTCGTCCACAAAGGTTGTCAAATACGATGACAGCGTAAGATAACCTTCCTTCTTTGCACAGAGTTCTTTGCACGCAAATAAATTTCAATCAGCAAAGTGGCCAAGAACATGCCAATCCGCACGATCGTTTCAGTGAACGGCCGCTTCGAGCTCTGTGTCTTCGCAAAGAGGCAGTAAGCAAAGAAGCTGAAGCTGCTGAAGCGGATGCACAAGCCACGAAGCAGCTCCAAGCGCTGGAACAGATGGACCTTCCGCTACACTTTCTGAGTTGAAAATAGGTCCTTTGTGCAGAATGTGCAGATTGTCCCATCGGCCATGTCGGAGATGAGCCATGGAGCTTGAAACTCAAGTTCCATTGCGCCAGAGCAAAGCAGGGCATCATTTTGCGCAGTCGGGTCCACTAGACCTGTTTTGCTTCTGTCTTTCATTGCACCGCAGTTTGCACTGCTTCTCACAACGCTTCTCATGGTCCCAAGGAGAACGTTCACAGATTCATAACTATCAATTCAGCAGCTGTAAAGCAATGCAATATGTCGGAACTGCATGCAAGAATCTCATGCATGCAAGCAAGAGAAGTCAATCTGTGGGCAAAAGGTCTGGCGTAAGTGCAGTTAGCGTTCGTTCGAGCAATTGGTTTCCAAAGAGGAAAAAAATAATAGAAAAACATGCACAGGACACCTTCTGCTAGGCACACCGTCATGAGCTGTGTAAAGAAAGGAGGTCGCATTGTCATGCTTCAGAAGCCTCACACAAACAGGAGAAAGAATTGAACTAACGTGTCTCGATGTCTTGGCCATCTTCCGTGTCTTCTTGGAATCTCACCAATCGTCCATGCTGATGCAGCCTTATTCTGTCAACTCAGCACACTCGATCTTAATGTGAGAGGAGAGGACAACAGCGGAAAGGGGAAAGAAAAGAAAACGACTCCAAAAGATTTGACAGTTTACATGTCGCAGCCATCAGAAGTAAAGGTCTTGCGGCTATCATTAAAATACAAACATATCACTCTCCCTCTTTGACTTTGTCACAGGTCGCAAAAGTTTGGCCACATGTATTCAAGTGACGGTGATGTAGACCCACTGTCGGCCAACCACACGGAGCCAAGTGCTGGAGCCAAGGAAACGCCCACAGATTGAGCTCACTGCGAAAACCGGTTTCAATACCATCACGGCTCAACCTCTGTTCGGAAGGATTGCAGACGCAAGGCCTTCACTGGTGGCGGCTCTGGTAGATGGCTAAGAGAAGCATTGATCTGGCTGCGCAACATTTGTAGCAGTATGTTGCCGAAATAGCAGTATCTTGAAGATGTTGCAACTGTTGCATTCATGCGCCAAGGTCTACCCTCAAGATCAACAATGCTTAAAAGACTCGATGCCTCCCATAGACGAATTTCGAGCAAATCGAGTTCCGGCCTCAGCTCTTTTTTTAACTGCAAGGCCACTGGAATGGTCCTCCGGAGCAGCTGAGCTTGGAACCCACCACCCATGCCAGTGGTGACCTCAGGTCGGCTCTTTCCAAGTTAAGTTTCCAAAAACAAACAGAAACCAAATCATTCAGGAAAGCCTGAGCCCTAGCCTGCGTCCTAGGTAGTAGCTTCCTAGCTATTAGGAGCTTACTAACCTACTTTTACGACCTAGCCAGGCTTTAAATAAAGGGTCCATAATTGCCATGCCCAAGAGGACGAAGCCACATTGAAGCCAAAGCAGTTCAACCCTGATTCTCCTGAATTCTCAGAGGCCGGCATCAATCACCACTCGAGGAGTCTTTCGTCCTTGATGTAATTCCCATGTCATTAAGAATCAAAGCTCGGGCAAAGCTGCAGCGAGGCACTTGAACCATCAAGAAGATGTCGCCAAGCAGGATTCCTGTGATTGCCAGAACCGACTCACATGCTGCAAGAAAATCGAAGCGAAATCTTAAGGCCTATGGCAACTTGGCAACAAAATCTTAGGGACCTCACTTGCAGTTGGGCTCCTTCAAGTGAACCTAGGACTCCAATGAGCTCTACAGCAAGGAGCTTATCAAAGAACTTTGTTAATCAAAAAAGGAACAAAGGGCCTGATGAACACAGCCGTTAGATGCCCTTAGTTAGTTTCCTCGTTTTTAGCGCACTTTTTTATTTTTTCCTGTTTTCCGGCACTCAGTGTCCTGCCCTTCTCTCACGATGAAAAGGCGCTGGGGGAGGACGTTCTACCTCAAGTCCACACAAGTGACTTATTGGCGTAAAATGGAGCAACTAGGACGGTGGTGGTAGTAGTAGTAGTAGTAGTTGTTGTTGTTGTTGTAGCAGTAGTAGTGGCAGTTGTTGTTGTTGTTATCGTCGTCCACTTGTGTGTTACAAGTACATAGCAAGGACTCAGTAGAGCTTAGCCCATAGGCCCATAGGCAAGCTCACTGCCATCAAAGCTGCTAGCGACTGGTAGAGCTTCACGACGACCTTGGTCAAGAGCAGCAGTCCAAGCAAACTTAGACGTCGTAAACTCACGTTATCAAAAAAAGGGTTGATGCATAGAGTCGTTGTTATAGAGTCATGGGGCCTGAGAAGTCCTTCTCTGGATTCAAAATGTATGTGTAAAATGCCCTCAAAGGCTCGCAGAACTTGGTGCTTTGCATCTCGAACGTGTGCAGGTGCAAGCCTGCAGCAAACAAGTTCTGATGCAAGGGCTGCTTTAAATGTTCAGGCTATGTTGACAGATTCTTGCCTAATCAATATGAATCACCTTGAATCACCAGGGACCAGCTTCCAACATGTCTTCATTTCTGCCGAAGTAAAGCACACTGCGCCTGATGGCACCAGGTGAATGCAACCCCATCCTGCAAAGTTCTTGATAGACACCTAACCTCATTCGCCACTGCAGGATCCAACTCTGAGATACTCTGAGCGCAAATTTGCACATGTGCATGTCAAAAAAAAGACACTGGCACTTAGGCAATCCCAGCGAAACATCCAGGGCTCCAACAAAGCCGAGTGTTGAGGCACCTTTAAAAGGGACATGGTGCGTGTGTGAAAGTCCAGAAGTGTGGAGAATGGCCTTGTCCTCCTCTGGCAAAGATGTCACCTCCAAGTGTCTGAGCGGCATGCAAACATTTGGCAAAACAAACAATTGTGTCAAAAGCCTTGATGCCCCATTTGGCCTATGCGGCGCTCTAGCTCTAGCACTAAACATTACTAAACAGTTCTCTCGCCTCTGCTGCAGGTGTAACTTCCTCCTGTCATAAAGAATATTCCGCCCAAAATACATTTGTTGACTTAAGCACGATGAGCAACGACGATCGAAACCAGTGCTCACTCTTTGCTGATTCTCAGCCATGCAAAAGGCTTCACTTGGCACTTTACTTTTGCGGCAAGTTGTTGAAGTGTCTAGCTTTCAGGAACTGGGCCGGAATCAATGCGTATCAGACAGATCGGGGAGAAGCCTTTTGGATGGACAGCCCACGTGGCTGCGCACCAATCCACCAGTTCTCCAAGTTGCACAGAAGATGGGCCTCCTCTTGGTTTAAAGCCATCGCTATTGGGGGAGGCCATGGCCATCGCTTCCAGGTTGGAGTGCATTGCTACTAAGGTGGAGGCCATCGCTTCTAGGTTGGAGGCCATTGCTGTTAGGTTGAAAGCCTGTGGTTACTTAGCTTCAAGTAGCAGGACTTGCTGACTCGCAGCCGTGGATGACTCGTTCGGTTATGGCGATATCGTCGATTGTGGTTATGAACGATGTAGTTATGGGATATGATGATCGCCCGCAGCACCTACCGGCCTGGCTATAGGTGTTCCCGTCTGTGTCTCAAGCCTACTTCGTAAAACCTCTTGGAGAATCTCACGGGGTCCTTTGCATCCGGAATATTTGGGAGGACTCGTGGAAGGAGTCTTGGAGATGATGGTGACTGCTCTGTGGAGTGACATGTGTTGCAAGACTTGCTTAGTGCATAAGCTCCGTGGTTCTGTCAAAGACATGCAGAAAAGCAAACAAGGCTACTCACCCAATAAAGACTACACACTTAGAGAGAGAGAGAGAGACACATTGAAAAAACACGAAAACACCTTGATTGAGTGATGTGAATTCCACGACCTGAGCGTTACTACTAGCAGCATAAATTAAAGTAGTCTGTTGGAGGAACGGAGTGAGATTATGTTTGACATCGTCACTTGCTGCAGCTTTAAGACGAGCTACTGCATGATGTTTGAGTTGATGATGTTTGTCGTCTGAAAAAGAATACCTCTGATACGTGCCTTTGCGCTGCTAGTGTGCAATGAATGGTCCAATTCTCGAAAATGACCTGCATATGGCCCTTTCTAAAGGAGAGAGGCTCCTGCACCAGAGCTTCTTCTTCAGGAGCACCCTGCGCGAAGTTTCAACGGTCAATATGGGGTCTTCACTGGACCAGACTGAATCACTGTGGGCAATAATGGGCTCTTTTGCTCTGGCAAGTTTTGAAGAACTGTGGTGGGCACCTTGCTTTCTTCTCCTTCTTCGTCCAAGGCTGGCGGCAATGCATCTGGTTCTGGGGCCTGGCTTGGTGCAGTCCTTCTCTCAACAGTGCTGGAAAAAACAAAGTAGAAAAAGGATCGCAGCCCCCGCCTAATAGCCGGATTCGTTGGAGAGGAAATACAAATTAGGAGAAAAGCCCTCAATGATTGTTCTTGTGAAATTCAAGAGAAGTCCTGCGCCACCCTGCATTGCTCGGGCCTCTTCGTGCTCACTCTCAAGCGGAACGCTCGGGCTTTGTGTTTCGGGAGTCCCTGCATGAGCCACAAGGAAGTCAATGTATGTTATACTTAGAGAGAGAGAGAGATATTACTTTTTCCAAACAAAGTGAGAAAGTCGGGAAGTCTCAAACTCGGAGTTGATAAATTGGCCAGCTTTACAAATGGTTTCATGGAGAAGGCTCGTCTGCCGCCTTTGGTAGAAAGTGAATTTGGCAAACTGCAAGAATGTCGCTGCTTGTCACTCAAGGCTTAGACCAAACTGCAAGCCATGCTGTGGAGAATGCCATCAGGAAGCACAGCCTAGAAAACAATCCAAGTTGGTCAAGAAGCGTCAAACCCGTTCTTCATTCAAGACCTCTCTCAAAGGAGTCTCAAAGCCTGTCCAACACATCCTGAAGCCTGAGGTTCAAGCGCCATCCGATGGCCACCCCATGGGCAAAAAGCGCCGAGGCGCCGCGGCCTCGAAGTTGTTGGAAGCTGTTTGCAGATCTTTCATGAGAAGAACGCAAAGGCCCTTCTTTAAGCCCGCTCCCCCCCTCCCTACTTAATCAAGTAGAGACTGCCTACTTAATTAAGTAAGGAACTGAGGTAGCTAGTAGCTACTAGTACGCTACTAGCACGGACGCATGATAGCTGACGCTTCTTTAAGGAAGCTCCCCCCCGCCGCTTGGGGGAGCTTCCTTGAAGAAGCGCTCGCACTGAAGAAGAGCCCCTAGTAGCTTCTTGCTCCTAGTAGTAAGGCCAGGAGCCCCTAGTAGCGTCCTTGCTCCTAGTAGCGATGCCAGGAGCGCCTAGTAGCTTCTTGTTCCTAGATTTCTAGGGAAATCTAACATATTGGCTTCCAAGTTGCTTGTAACAACACATGAACGCAAAGGCCTCATCTGCCATGTCCCAAGTCTTGGCCATTGCAGTCTGCAAAAAAAATATCTATTCAAGCACAAGCTCCATGCACAAGCTTTGTATTGGAGATCCAAGAAATTGAGGTGGGCAAAGGCTGCATCATTTCACATCTTGTTGCAGGGTGGACCATCCTTTACACAAACCTAGAGGATCCTAGAGGATTCTTTTGTGCTAGGCCTGATTACACCAAGAGACTCTTGTCTAGCTTCCGCCCTGAAACAAAAGGGCTCCTTCGCGGAGGTGCTGGATCACTGAAGGCCACTTTTACTCGTTTCAACTTGACCAGAAAGACTGGAATTAGTTCTGGGCATCTAAAGCCTAAAGCTGCAAGAATCAAGTCACAGCAACTGCCATGAAATGACAGAACAAAGCACATTGGCCTGGTCTGACTACAAACCAAAAGGAATCCGAATCCAAATAGTTGTCCCACAATATAATCTCAATAACTCCATCGTTGACAGCAGTCGTGCAATCTTCTCACCCAAAACTCAATTGTTTT